GTTTGGGGACAAGCAAACACATGTGAGAGATAAAACAACCAATCAATACACAGGGCAAAGGTCATAAAAACAGAATCGGATGGAACACATGGACAAGGTATAGATCCACTCAAGGGGGATAGTCACACTTGGCAGGCAGCATGAGGCTGGCCACGAATTTGATCTGTTTACAAAGATAGGGTTTGTAACGCTAAGTGGCGGCTGCCTCAGCGAAAGTAGTAGATGGCTACGGTTCTAGCGAATCAAGACACGAAGCGCGTTTCTAGGTATATTCACATTCCTCCCCGAGCTGCAGATGAGATTTGCGTTGCATAAGCTAACTCTCATGTTTTTCTCTGAAGCAAATCAACCTAGTTTGAGGGATCATACCATGCATCAACAATTGTTTGTGTTGTATTGGGTGGGCGTACGCTCCAACAGACTGCAGCCCAGATGCAGTCAAAGATGAATTTTACCACAATCTACACGACCTCTTGCGTAAAGCGAACCGGGCTGATATCGTGATTTTAGCAGGAGATATGAATGCTCGAGTAGGCTGGTTGACGTCGAGTGGGGCGCACCTGGGAGGTCCTTTCGGACTAGATTCCTGTCGCTCGGAAAACGGGGAACGGCTGCTGGCTCTATGTTCCGACCACTGCCTGTTCCTCTCCAGTACGAACTTCAGACGCTCCAACTGCCGGTACGCCACATGGCGTCCGCCCTCATAGAGCCAGCGACGGACGCAGATCAACTGCGATAAGCCACAAATGGAGTGGCTGCAGACAAGACTGCTAATCGTACTGGTGCACTCCCCTCGAATCCGACCAAACATTGGTATGCGTCAAGCTATCCATGTGCTTCGAAACAACGACGGTTAGAGTGGGATAGGTTGTCTCAACCAGCACGACTAACTGTCTTCCAAAACGCGCTAGCTGAAAAGCTAGAACCAACCCCACTCGATGAAATTAACCAGCACTGGTCGCTTATCAAGAATGCTCTGCATTCTGCTGGCTGAGTTAGTTGTGGTCTGATACGCCGTGCTGCTACACCCCGGATTTCAGCAGGGTCTGTACGCCTTCTTGAAGCACGTCGATCAATTCCGACCGAAATACGACGAGGAACGAGTCGTAACCCCAACGCAAGCTTACGCGGAGACCGCGAGATTTGGTGGTCTCAACGTGCTGCCACCATAGGTAATTCCCGTAAGTTGTTCCATCTCATCCGGGTCACCTGTAGAAAAGCCTTGGATGTGAGCGAATCTGGCGGTTCGCCCACTCATAATCAAAATCGACGCCTTGCACGCTGGGCGGAGCACTTCACTCGATTGTTGTCCCTATCTTCAAAAGAGCCCGCGCAGTGATTGCGCCAATCATAGGGGTATAAGCCTAATCCCAATAGCGTAAAAGCTGTTGACGTCCGTCGTTCTCCGCCGAAAGTTGGAAGTGGATTCAAGAGAAAATGGAGAGTTTGTCCTCCCTTCAGTCTTTTTCCACCCACAAAGTACTTCGGCATCGGTGTTCACCGTGGCAATCTGTTTGGTGAAATGCGTAACACATGCCCCAACCAGCGTATTCTATGTTGGTTGACCAGTGGACAATAGTGATTACCTAAAATCATTCGCTTTACCACAGCATTGCTTATCTGGTTACCCCACCAGATTCGTACAATGCGGCGTAGACAGCTGTGTTGGAACACCGACAGTCTGTATTTATCCTGTTTTCGTGATGGCCAAGTAGTTGCATCGAGAAGCAGAACCCCCCCCCCCCCCCGAACTGTTGCAGTATGCACTCAATCCTTTACAGACAGGCGTATGTCGGGACGATGCCATAGAAGTCTGAAGTTGGCAAATTCCAATTGAGATCAAAACAACTGTACAGTTCTACCGAGCACTTTAGTTTTGATTTTGTTTACTGTGCAGACGAAAAATTCTCTCCTATAATCGAAATAAACACTCCACTATATAGTTCTCTGTGAAAAATCAAACATCCTGACAGAGTCACAGATTGACTAGTTGATTGAATCCAAGAAAACAAACTGCCAATCGTGAAGGAAATACAAATTTCGAAACAAAGATAGAAATGATGAGATAGATAACAAAAACTTGAGCAGAGTTGAAGAAATCAACAAGACAGCATACTTTACCAGTCATTGCATTCATTCGGATGATCTCCGAGTACATGATTCGCTTTCCATTATCCGTACTCTCTGTAGAAGGAAAGTCAAATCGGACAAGAGCAGGTGGCCTACATCAAGTGCATTACGTCACCTGAATACTGTTCGTGAATGCAACAGAATATCCGTCCTTAAGAGGTCTTTTATTGCAACTGCACTCCAGCTTCCATAGCCGTAGTAACGATTTTAGCGATTGGTGTGTGCATTAATTCGGAATTAGTATTGAGAAAAATGTTTCCGTGTTGCATGGATAGGTGCTAGTGCACTAATGACCTACAAAATGCAGTCCAATAGTGGTCGCCATTCAGAATTCAAAAATTTATGACAACACAAAATTGGGCTGTAATTTTGTTCGTCAAATATCAGTTTGGGAATCACAGGACACAAAGTCGCATCGCACCTAAAAACTACAATAAAACCGCATCAATAAAAGTTTATATATGACACATATTTGAATAGTATCGTTTCCACTGGAGCAGTGGAAATCTGGGATGAAAAAACTCATTCAGTCATTGTGGCAAACGGGATACCAATCATGTCAGAGTGGATCCTGCTTGCCCAATTACATATTTCCTTACAAAGCAATACGCTACTGATCATCGGCATCAGTAGGAGAGTTCTTGTAATGGAAAAAACAAGCGAAGAATCAACCACATTCGATTTTCCGGCCCTCCAACCTACATATTCCACAAATGTTAGTGTTCTGGTCCACTGATCATTGCTCAGACCTAAAGTCCTGAAGGTAATCTCATATCAAAAGAAGGAGAAAGAAGACAGAGCGCATCTTTGCTCAGTTTTTGTGGCATTATTCTGTACTTCTTGTACTGTGAACTTCGCCCAGATGCTCTTGGGCAATGTGATCGGTTACCGAAGGCTTCGAGACAGTTCCATCGACCAAATCGGTTGTCATGGTGGACACATCCAGACGAACAGACTGTTCGTTATTTGGGAGCGGTTCTAATTCGGCCGCTCGGTACGCAGGGTCCCAGATCTCCCTGTGCGCGGCAAGCAACAGGGGGCGTTGTCGCATATCCAGCATGGCTTGAAAGGAACGTCGGTTAACCTGTGGGGCCAAAACAACTATAACAGTTAAATGTGCATAGTTTGAGAAATCTTAATTCTTGAGTGATTTATACTGAAAATTTTGTTGGGAAATGTTTTTCGAATATTTCATTTTTCCAACAGTAACAACCAGTTTATGAGAGATAAATTGATCCTTTTTGGACGAAGTTTTTCATCAGGTCGATAGATAGCTGGTAGGCTATTTGAGAGACGATCGGACATAAACATGATGGGTATGCCAGTACACTGATTCGACGGATTTCAACAAACGTAATATGGATACCATGAAGGGAGTGTCTACTAGACGACACCCATTTAATTCGATTCAGCACCTTGCGTAACAGTTTATTTCTGCCTCTATCAACAATCAACACAAAACCGCAGTGAGTGAACTAGATCACTGGATCAGCAAAATAAATCAGTATTATTATTATTATTATTATATGACATTTCTCAGAAATTACTTCTGTGGATCCACTATTTTTATCTATTACAATCTGACCGTCATGACGAGACTGCACTTTGACGTGGTGTGATGGCTTGCGTGCCTCCATAACCCTGCGAGCTACACAGGATGGATTTTCACAGCCGTAGATCCTATTGCGCCTGAGAGATCAATCAGCAGAGGCCAGACAAAGATCAGTCTCACAAAGCAATTGGAAAGCTTTTGTTATTTAGCCAGATACATCAAACTCGGTGGACGCATCATGGATGAAGTGTCAGCTCGCATTCAGAAGGCTCCATTGGCATTTGCAAACTTGAGGCATCGATGGAGCCATCGCGACATCCGGCTGTCTCTGAAGGGTCGAATTTACGCCGCGGCAGTTCAACCAATTCTGGCCATTAAGAAAATAGGATAGAGATAGATTGTCGGTGGTTGAAAACCGCTGTCTATGCAGCATTGCACGAATCTGGTGAGGCGTCCGGACGAGCAATGCCGAGCTTAGGCTCAGAGTTTTGGTAAACCGCGGTCGCCCACTGGAACAATTGGTCGACCTCCACAGATTACATTGCTTGGGACATGTGTTACGAATGTCACCAAATAGGTTGCCACGGCGAGCGATATCCACTGAAGCAGGTATTGGGTAGAATAAAGCCAAGAGTGGTTAAGCCAAGACCTGGAACGAGGGTATGAAACCCCTAACCAGGAGTCTCGGGCAAATAGGTTACGTTGGGCTTCCTTGATGGGGATCTCGGGATGATCGTAACCGATGGTTAGAGACACTGAGTGATATGACTGAGTGTCATAGACAGTGGCTCTTGTGCATCTTCTCAATTTTTTGGCAACCTTAGTCCACTGAAACACTCCATTTTTATTCGACTCCACTTTCAAATTTACTGTTTTTCTCCTACTGCTCGTCCAAAGTGGCAGCCAAAAGACAGTAACCAAAACCGACGCACGAAAGTACAAACTGAACTGAACTGAAGTAAAAGTTAGTACATATACGCACACGGAGATTATCTGCTCGGTTTTCAAGTCACTGATGATTACATTCAGCTTGTATTGTTGTTCATCGGTGCTCTTTTTTAATGCAACCATATATTGCCCGGATATACCATCATTACACCTTGTAAGAAACAAACAGTAGCGAGCTAGCTCGTTTGCGATGATTATTCTGCTAGCTAGTACATCACAATCTGTATGGGGGAGAAATAATGACAATTTGGAAAAGAAATAATCAGTATTCCAGTTCCATGACTGCATTTTGCTCACACTTTGGTCATCACACATACGCATCAGTTTGGGTCATTAGGGGTGGGTAGGAGATGGCTGTATGGTGGGGGATTTTGCCATAGAAGACCGAGTGTTCATACGAATTGTTTTTAGGATTATGTAGTTGGATTCTGATCGCTTCCGCTTTGGCCAGAATGTGACTCTTAATTCTTCTAGATCGACGGCTGCCAACTAAGTATAGTGGTCGGAAGGCCTCGGCCATACTACCCACGTGGTTTGATTCCACCAGGTGTGAAACGATTGAGCTTTTGATAGTCCTAATTACTCCACTATTTAACCAGGCCGGGTAGTGCTCATGGACTCGTTCAGCTGTGCTTGTGCGGCAATATACCTTGATCCACAGGAACAAGCGAATAAGAGCACATAGAGAGAGACTGCAGAAGCATATATCTCATCTGGTCCTCGCCCGAAATGTACAGAGGGAGCAGAGTATAAAGTACAAATTGAGCGAATATGGTCAAATTCCTTACGGAACCGTTATGTCATCAGTCTGTCATTCCTGTTTGGCGAAATTGGTTTCACTAAATACAGAATTAATGAGAATAGTCAGCCGACCTCGGGATCAGCGTAACCGATAATCACAGTGGATACGCTGAGTTTTGTAATCGCTGGCACCCGTGCACCTTCTCAGTCTCTCTGCAACCTTAGTCTACCCGAATTCACTTATTTTTCTTTGGCTCTGCTCTCAACATTGAAAATTTTCCTTCTGCTTCTTTATTCAAATGGACAGCCCCAAAACAGCTACTAATACCGCTGCCCAAAGGTGCATCGTTAACGGTTTTAAAAACTGAACTGGACTTCTCTGAGAAAAAGGAAGACGCCTTTTAACCTCAGCATAAATCGATTGTAATTTCCATTTTAAATCCTGAAATATGCAACCAAAAGATGCTGTTGTTACTAATGCTTGAATGCTGAATTCGTTGTACATCAAGCATGAGAGTGATATGAATGGGTTTCGTAAAAACTGGAACTAAAATTGGCACGGAAATATCTCCTTGAACACTGCCGAAAATACATCCCATTGGGGTGAATGAAGTAAATACTGGACTGGAATAGACTTGAGTCATCATCCGTTGCCCAAGCAAATCTGCGACGCTTCACACACTTCGCACCCACACAGGCGGAAGTTAAAATTTTGTCCTCGCGTACAATCACTTTTCACGATTCTGTTCGACCGGATCCAACATATTTAATTTGCAATCCAGAAAACATTATCTGTGCAATGGTAGAATCGTTGAAGAAATTATCTGCTTATCTTGTACCTTCGGCAAATTCGGTCTGAAATTTAATTATACACAGTTATCAATCGATAGGTTTCCTCGGTATAAATTGACTGCTGTGTTTTCAAGTATTTGCTTAGTGATCGAATTTAGAAGTGCGTAAGGGATTGCCTTTGAGCATAATGCTTTTCAAGTTTTCCCCTTTCTCACGAAAGATTCAAAATATTTTCGTTTATTGATTTATTGCAGCTGACCATCCTTCAGACTTTACTCTCACGCACACTACTCACCTCTTCCAGTAAACCATACACTCGGCAGCACTGGATTCGAGTTTCGCTCTTATTAGAGCTGTTCATCAGTAGTGTATATCCACCGTCCCGTCCGGGATTTACACCACGAAACCATCTCAAGGAAGGTGTGTGTACCTGATTGGGTCAGCGTCAGTATATAGTTAACTGGAAGAGCTGAGAAATGGACGTGAAGATGAAATCTGAAGGATGGTCAGTCCCAGTCAGTCAATATCATGTGTCTGACAACACTACTCACAAGTTAATGCGAATTACTAACCCAACCTAGTAGGTTTCTGGCCAGTTGGTCGGTAACCTACATAGAATACCTGCCTTGGTCTTTCAATTGGAGTTGACAGTCAACTGTATCTCCCTTCGTTGCTGTCGGATCAAATTGAACTGACCGACTATCAATAACTGCGGTCGACTCAATCGATGCCAACTTTCAGGTTTGGATCAGTCTCAGTTTGAACAACCATTCAGTTTGCACTTTCGTGCGTCGGTTTTGGTTACTGTCTTTTGGCTGCCACTTTGGACGAGCAGTAGGA